GGTGTTCAAAAGTAAAATAAGAGTCAATTATCAATTTATATAATTATATTTGTGGGGTTAGGAAGTTGGATATATTGTGGTGGCGAAACGACTTTTTTCTGAAGTGACTTGTCGGTTGTGTAGTGGGGATATTTACTCAGAAGACTGCAATAGTAGCTAGTTTGTGGTTGGGACTAGGTGTACCCACAGTTAGTGCTGGTACGCTTACGATTGAGGAAGAGGTGTTTTTGTTTTGTTTTGTTTCTGTTTCTCTTTGTTTTCGCAGTAGTAGTTTCTAATGAAAGAAATGATCTCCATCACATCACTAAACATAACCACGAGAAATGACTAGGAACTGCATCCCAAACCCCATGATAAACAAGGAGCGGATGCATCCAACGAAACATTTAAGCGCAAAAAAATCATTACCAACATAGGAGAAAATTCGGTAAGATCCTTCCATTGCATTGTTTTATGATTCTTCAATATTGTTCAAATATTTACACAATCCACACAACTACACATAGTAACTCGGAGCGTTTGGTACGGTATGTCCACGCATCCTTCCAGCCCTGTAGATTCAAGAAATGTTCCCATTTATTTCCAAGAATCATCTTTGCGGCAAATACAACGCAGTAGGCCTGGCCGTATTGATGTTTCTATCATATCTCAGATATGCTGTAAACATAAATTAGACAAGAAAAATGATTAGACCTCATCTAACCTAATCATTTTCCAGGATGCTTTCTCGTACTGGCTGCGTTTGTATTAGATTAGATAAGATAAGATTAGATTAGATATCTATAATTTCCAATTTTAGATTTCAAAAATGTCCAAGAACTTAACTTGGTGATTTGTTAAGTTCTTGGACATTTTACATATAAATAATAATAATAATAGTATCGTGGAACGATAGCATCATTATATGTTATTGATTTTCATACTTTAAGTTTGAATTAATGCAAGAATTAATTTCCATCATTACATTTTATGTGATCAATTTACCACGAAGTATGGTATTTAATTTAGAGTTGCGTTTAATGGTACCGTAAAACGGGGTATCTTTGATAATGCGGGTAACTTTGATAGTATAATATAAAGAATAAATTTACTCGCTGTGCATTTTCCAAATAAGAAACATTGGTTGCATATTGTTGCTTAGGGTATTTAAATTGATAGGGTATATAGTTTTTGTATAGTATGCGTTAGATATTTTACAAAAATATTAAAAAACCATTTTCGTGTTTTTCGCCTTCTTGAAAAAGCACTCAAACCATCACTTATGAAATGTATTTCCGATACAGCCATCACAAGCTCAATGTTTTATTCTTATTGCTTATGAAGTTTTCTGATTATATACTCATTCAAAGTTTCATATTTAAAGAACTAAATTGTTTGAGTTTCACTCATTTTTGTCTACATTCATCGAGCATTATCAAAGTTACCCCAAATAAAAATACTGAAGTTCGGTCACAAAACTAAAAAAATAGTGCAGATGCTTTAATTTTTGTTCAACATATTACTAACGAATTAACTCTTGGATCCTCAGTACTTGTTTTAAAAATATAAAATTTCAAAAACAGTTATTGCTGAAAAAATTTAGAGTATGCTTTAAAAAAAAACTATCAATGTTACCCCGTTTTACGGTACATAAAAACAATACAAATCAGTAAACATAATTGAAAACATTCATGAAGCATTTATGCCTACATTTAGTAAAAAGAACTCATTCATCAGTTAAAGGGTGATACGGTCAAAATTTGGTCAATATCAACTTGACGTATTTCTTTCAATTTTGCATTTAAAAAACCTGAACACCCCTCATTTTGAAGGTGTGTGTGTGTAGAATGTTGCTCCTATTTTGATTTTGGAATTCACTCTTCAGTTGTCAAAATGCCGTCCAAGCAAGAAGAGCAGCGTATCAAACGAAAATCCGAGCAACTCGCACGCAAAGTTGGCAAAATCGCTAAAAGTTGCCAAATCAACCGTTACAAATGTAATTAAAGTGTTTGGGGAACGTTTGTCGACAGCCAGGAAGTCTGGATCGGGGGGAAATCGAAAACCGGAAGCCACTGAGACGACAAAGAGAGTTGCCGGTAGTTTCAAGCGAAACCCTAACCTCTCTCTCCGAGATGCCGCAAATAAGCTGGGTGTATCGTCTACAACCGTGCATCGAGCCAAAAAACGAGCCGGACTATCGACTTACAAGAAGGTAGTGACTCCAAATCGCGATGATAAACAAAATACGACGGCCAAAGCGCGATCCCGGAGGCTGTACACGACGATGCTGACGAAGTTTGACTGCGTTTGACTACAAGCAGCTTCCGGGACAGGAGTTTTATACGGCAAAAGGAAGGGGAAAGATAGCAGATGTTTTCAAGCACATGAAACTGTCAAAGTTCGCAAAGAAATATCTGGTTTGGCAAGCCATCTGTACCTGTGGCTTGAAAAGCAGCATTTTCATAGCTTCCGGGACTGTCAACCAAGAAAATTTACGTGAAAGAGTGTTTGAATAAACGTCTGCTGCCTTTCCTGAAGAAACACGGTTGTTCCGTACTGTTTTGGCCGGATTTGGCATCTTGCCATTACGGTAAAAAGGCCATGGAGTGGTACGCCGCCAACAACGTGCAGGTGGTTCCCAAGGACAAGAACCCTCCCAACACGCCAGAGCTCCGCCCAATTGAGAAATACTGGGCTATTGTCAACCGGAACCTAAAGAAGACCAAAAAAACTGCTAAGGGCGAGCAGCAGTTCAAGGCAAACTGGCTTTCTGCGGCGAAGAAGGTGGACAAGGTGGCTGTACAAAATCTGATGGCAGGGGTCAAGCGTAAGGCCCGGCAATTCGGATTTGGAAAAGCGGAAGCCTAACTGAATATTTTTCCTGAATTTTATACTAATTGAACTTGAAAAAGAAATTTAATTTGATTTTTTAAATAAACGATTTCACCGATTTACACGCGTTTTCCCTTGACCAAATTTTGACCGTATCACCCTTTACGAATGTCCTTCATTACTTTAATGTGCATTTAATCAAAGCTAATTAGCTGAACGATCTTTTACTTCAACTCCACAATTGGTGCCCAACAAGCTCAGATGTATTGGAAGACAAACGTATAAAATTAAATCTGACGTTGAGAGTTAAACTTTGTGATTGAAAGTAAAATGGAAATGATGTGCTTTAGAAGAAAAAAATATGATACATTAAAAATACAACAAATATTTACTTAACCTGGCTACCATTACCGGTTGCACTTGAAAAATGTTTTATTGTTGAAATTTGTAACTGATTATGATTTAACTTGAAAAGACATAGAGGTTTTGTGCCTACGGGAGAAGAGGTAGTTAAATTATTTTCACTCCCGCGGGTTTTCCCCTCTATCAATAAAAAAAATATATTCAACACATCATAATTCCTTCCTATTATTCAGCTACGAATGTAACAACGATGGTGAGTTCACCATGTTATATCTTCATTTTATTCCAGCAGACAGCAATTTCAACATTTATAAAAAAACAAAAACAAAATCTGCATATGCCAGCAACACTGACTGGGTGTATCCTATGGCTTACCTTCCCTACTAACATAATTCCTAAATTCCCGAGACATTTATGAGGGGTCGTAGAGTTCTCTGCATCTCTCTTAAGTAAATGTTGGACTAACATACCTTTCCTATCCCTACCAGTTGTAAGGACGTGGCCAGGACAATCCTTAACTGTTGGAGCGGGATGTTTCTTTATCTGGGAGATAGTATTTATTTCCTACTTACTATCTGTCCATTTACAGAAATCCGTCTTGCTCTTAATAGTTTTGAATTCGTACCACCTACGATATTGTGCAACTTGTTCGATGCTAATGCTAATGCTAATGCTAATGAACCACTTGGTCAAGTAGCTTTTTTACAAAGCTGGACCAACAAATTACTTTTTTTTATGAAGTGCACAAATTTTGGCTACTTTTTTCGTTGTTATAGATGACAAAACCTCAAAATAATGTTTTATTTCAAAGTTCGAGTTCGTCATTTTAACTGCTGGAATGAACTGGTCAATTAATCATAACATTAGAGCAGTTTAAGATGTCGTTTCCAACAATGCACATATAGGGGAAATGGCCAATCGCTAAAAAATTGCTATTTATCAATTTTATCTAGTAGATGAACGCGTCATTGGGACGGTACTAATGGATATTTTTGGTCGCTATTGAAAATTTAGTCGACTGCTGAATTTATGTATGGACCCAAATTAGGGGCATTTAGGCCGACATTACATCCATTTCCCCTACTAAACTTGAAAAATCTGGAATTTATTGCCACTTTTTCTTAAAATCGCTGGTAGAAAGTAGTCTTAAAACTGCACGACAATATGATAAGTTTTACTCATATACGAGCAGATTACTGCTCGAATATGAGTTACCTGTTCTCATATTCGAGGTAGATTATACTCAGTCTATGAGTATCCGTGATTTTAACGAAGTTAAGTAAAAGGAAATCAAAATTGAGTATAATGCAACGGCCGCGTTGAAACAACACCGAGCAAATATTTTCCCATTAACGTTTAATTTATATGCATAGGTACATAAATTTCTCTTTGAGGCACTAACAAATATCTGCAAGCCAAATTTTCATATCACATGATTTTTTTCCCACTATGCAATCAAGTTCAACACACCAGCTCATAAAACAAACGAAGAAAGAAGAAACTCTTTCCACCGATTATGCCGATCCCAACAATGGCAATGTAGAATCCAGATGGCCTTCGAGCGTTCTGGGGAAGCACCCATGGTTGGGTACGATTTCACAAATAACCACACACCACTATCACATCTCCGCTGCCGGCGCTGTCAACCTCAACACCTCCGTGATTGTCACCTTAGCTGGTAACAGAGGCAGTAGAGCTACAGACTATTAAAGCCACGTGAGGCCCATCTTCTACGCGAAACCACTCATCTTCTCGTGAAATAAAAGTGATATCAGTTTCACAGTGACATAATGAAACCAGAAATAAGTCATCAGTTGCGGACCTACCCCTGAAGGTTTGTTCTTATATCCAGCACTAGACACAAACACCGAGCACAGGATTCTGATGAAGCTCAATACTTTGCACTATTTCCCTACCGCGTGAACAATTGCTTCCGATAACAAACCGACTAACCCAGTAGTGTACCGAGAAGGAACGCTCGCAAAAGACTGATCGAGCTGTGGCTTGTAAGCCGACGCAAGCAAAAATAATAAAAGCACCACACACAGGAATAAAAGTTTTATCTTACACCGAAAAACTTTTCGTCGATGATAGGGAAAATATATAGAGTAGTAGGAGTATTGGGGAGTGTCTGGCAACAGGCCCGTGCAACAGGCGGGCGGCGGTGGTGGCCGTGGAGAGGCCCCTCTGAATCAGAGAGCGGGTGGTTTGTAGTTGAGTGTCGAGAGATGGAGCATGGAAGTGAAATTGTAATATGCGCGCCGTGGTGCCAGTTGGGGGCGATCATGCAATTCCATACCGCAGAAGGGCAAGATATTTCACAATGTTTTGAAATTTTTAATTTTTTAAGCTGAGCTTTGTTGTTTTTAAGTTTAAATTGCATTGGTGTTTTGAGCAAAAATCACAAATTTAATAAAAGTAAGAGCACTTTTTTGATTTTATTAGTATATGATTAATTTTCAACGGTCGTGTGTAGCTATAAAAGGCATGGTAATCCACAAGTCGTAGATTACTCACATATTGACCATAAATAACCTAAATTGAACATGCCGTTATGATTATTTAAGATTTTTTAACGTACCAGTTATTGATTAAGCAAACCACATTAATTTAAATTTGAAAGTGGCATCACTGCAATAAAAATACATCTTCTGATTTCCACAATGGGGGCGTTCATAAACTACGTAGAACAATCTTAATAGGATTAGACCAACCAACGCTTAAACAATCGTCCATACCATTTTTAAATAAATTTACATGGACCGTAGACATTTGTCAGCCCTCCCCTAAAGTGTCTACGTGGTTTATAAACATCCCCTATCCATCTATCCTGAAGTATAGAATACATGTATAAGAGAATGGCAAAACTCTATTTCTGGGAATTTCAACACCAGACTTTCCATTACTGCGACCCAGATGTTACTCTGTAATCCGGCCAAACTATAAACATCTATAACTCAAAACCAAAATTACATTCTGCTACCGTTGTTTGGCGAAATGGATCCTTGAGACACTACTAAAAAAAAAAACGCCGGTTTTTCTTACTTTCTGCTGAATACCAACAAGCACAAACAGAACGAACAGCACGCGGGTGAGCGAAACATAAAAATACTGGAGATCTAACCGATAGCAGCCAGGCTGGATGTCAGTAGGCCACACGAACTAGCACTAAGAACGATACCGACGGCGGCGGCGATACGAATCAACGGAGAGCACAATTCAAACTAACACACTATCGCATAGCGCATAGCGGGCGTCGTGGTGCTGGCTCTGCTCTTCTCAAAGAGCTTTCCATCCCATATGGGGCATGGAAAATCCTATGCAACCCGATATAAAACCCATACCTACATACATGTACCGTTCCGGTCCCATATGTTGCACAGTTCCTAACTCCGCTCTATGCGTACTCAGTCATTTTAGAATATTGTTTATCAATATTAAGAAAATGTTACCACTGCAAACAGTACTTCTCGTGTTCTAGGGCAAAATAGTTTATCGAATGTTTTGAAAATATCTTGTTGAAATCGAGATTGGACCGAAAATTGAGAGCACAATCATTACTGAACTGGGCAGAGTATGGTGCCGGCACGGTATCATGGTCAGGCGGCGGGAAGCATAAAAATGAACGGATCTGGGCGAACGAAGCAATGAATGAATATGTATGAACACTAGGCTGATCCAAAATTTGAAATTTACACTCCACAGTGCTCAAACGGTTCCAAATCGGGCCTTGATCATCATTTTAAAATTTGAACTCATTTAGTTAAAAACTGACTGCGCACAAACCATTTAAAGTTTGTATGTGATTACCGCGGGAAAAACAAACTTTGTATTCAAAATTTTTCTAACAAGTCACCATATTTACCTATAAAATTGATATCTGTGCTCGTATCAAAATTTCACAGCTACAATTTTGCTCAAGACCACTATTAGATTAAATGTAAGGAATAAAAGTTATTCATGGTTCAAGCCGCTAATGTCTTATGATTATATTCAATCAACTGGTCAGCAGGCATCATTGGTGTTTCCGGTGTGTGGAATAGAGCACATACATCATGTCTACTATTATTAATATTATTAAAGACAAAGTCCACAAAGTAACGGCTTGATCATGTCATATTTTAAATAATATATACATTTTTCATTTGTCGTTTGACTAAAAAGGCAAAGTTGTAGCTGAAAAAATTTCCAACAAGATTGGTTATCGAACATTTTCTCAGATCAATATAGAAAAGGTTGGATTCCCCATAGTAAATCCCATACAAATTTCAAATGGTTTGTGCACAGTTAGTTTCAAACCAAATGTCTAGATAGAGCTGGAATTAGGGCATAACAGCCTTTGTAAACAATGACTTCTATCGATGATTTCTAGGAACTCAACGCACGCCCACGCAGACCAACATAACCATCGGATAGGGGAAGTATTTCCCCACCTGATGAGGATGTTGGTTTACGTTTGCGAGCCTAGAATTTCTAGAAATCATCAATAGAAGTCATTGTTTACAAAAGCTGTTAGGCCCTAATTCCAGCTCTATCTAGATGTGTTCAAATTTTGGGAGGATGATCAGGATCCAATTTGGATCCGGTTAAACCGCATTGTGGATCGAAAATTTGAAGTTTTGTATCAGTCTAATGAACACGCAAGCATGACAGGAGAAGCCGGCTTTTGGATGTATAGGGGTTATTTTTGAACTATCTTATGTAGAGCAGAGACGACGTCAACGAGGGGTGATGATATCGAACTAACTCTGCTAGCGATGACTGGTGGTGAGCACAGGAAACAAAGTCATTGAAGTGTTGTATGCATATCTGAACTTTGTTCCATTTCTCGCAAGTAGAGGGCTGAAAAAAGTCGTGGTTCAGTAAATACCATCTCATTTGTTCCAACATTGAATCATGCACTAATAACACTAACGTTGTACGTGTAAATTTAGAAAATAAGATTATCATTGAGTGGTAGTACACAGTTCGAAAAGTAGTGTAAATTTCTGTTCAATATGATGCACACAAATAAAGCGTCATATTTCATATAAGTTTACATTATATATCATGTAAAGTTCTAGCACAATTCATGCAATGTAGAAAATATTGTATACAAACCCCATCTTTGTAAACAATATTGTTTACAAGTTGCTCGGTTGTGTGAAATTAAATTTAAGTTTACGTGAATGAATGTTTACATCACAATTAAAATTCAGAATTTTTATCTGTGTAGAAAGTATACTATATTTCGTTAATATACCGTTCTGGTTTTTAGATTTATTACAAAATTCCTGGACATATTAGTTATAAACACTTAAATTTTTTCGCCGAGATTCCAACAGCCGAGTAGTTCTGCAATTTATTTTGCTGAGATTAATTAAAACAATTGCCGAGACTCAGCTAACAAACAGCATTTTGCTGAGATATTTGCTAACAAACATATATTTTGCAGAGATATCAGCAAAAGTTAATGTCGAGGTAATCGGCTGTTGGAGATTTTACCGAGCAAGATTAAGTGTGTAAAGCTATGTTTAGATAGATTAAGAATCATTACTTTATTGTTTACTACCACTCAACTTGCGTGTTCGATGTTTGCCGAAGTCGTGTTGTGCATTCAATATTTATCAACAATTAGTTTAGATAAGTTAACTAAGTATTATATATAAATTTCAATTCCTCACCTCTAATCCAGCCTTTATTGTTGCGACAAAGAAAGATATCCAACTTCTCTGTTCTTCTATGTCAATTCGTAGGTAATTTAACTTGATTTACGGTTCGTAAATTAGCTTCACGTTGCTCATACAATTAATTTTTTTTTTACCTTTTTAAGATAGTTTTAAGTCAATAAAACAGTTTTAAGTTTAACAATATATGAACCGAAATTAGTCTTAGAATCGTTTATCTGTAATCGTCATTTTAGATTAAAATTCACTGACAAAGTTTATTGTACGATTTTCACGCCAATATTCGTTGGCACAAAAGTAGTTTTAAGATACAAATGGAAATTAATTCAATATTAAGTTAGTTTTAAGCACAATAGTATTGTAAATTGTCGGTGTGAGTGGATTCGACAATCTATGTCAACTTTGCCGGGCTTGTGTGGATTAACGGGCTCGCTAAAGTAGCGCGCAACCAAATATCAGATTACGGAAGATTCGAAACATAAAACTGACCCTAGAGCACCAGTTTTTGATTTATTTATTCATAAGAATCAAATTATGGTTGAAGTCTGACCTAAGGGTCATATAACGATTCTTTAGAAGAACCTTTTGGCTGTATCCCATAGGAACGTATGTTTCACTTTTAAGACCACAATTAAATTATAGACAGAAGTAAATAAATGAGCTTGTTATGGTTTCATATAATGAGAATCCTGCTCAGAACATGTCAAAAATAACATAAAAATATTATTGTGCCATCAGCGTGAAGTAATTCAAGAAAAAAAAAATATTAAATAGCATTGATTTTTCACCAGAAAAGCTCAAAACTACATCTCACTCATCTGTTCACATCTCAAAAACTATGCGTCCAAATCATTTGCCCTTGTAAACACATCAAGTAGGGGAAATGTTGACTTTGGCAATACCTTAACCTATTATCGTCAGAGGGTAAACAAAGTCCCCTAGAAGAGTTTGCCAAAGTGCGGTGAAAATTTGAACCCAAAATATTAATAAATTAAAAATCCCGCCCATGGTGAAAATAGGCAATTTTGACGTAGGACTACGTCTTTGATTTCTATATGGGGGTACACTTTGTGAAAACCGAAAATGGAACAAGTAACAAATAAAGAAAGATTTTGAACGTTAATAACTCAGCTTCCCCTGGTACAATTTCAATAATTTTATCACCAATCGATCAGAAATATGGCTACGCATCAATAAAAATGCTTCCAAATGTTGATTTTCAACAAGAAACTATTGAAAAACTGGTAAATGTCCAGCATTGTCCAAAAGCGTCGAATTAACTAACAAATCCACCAATTACCTACATGCATATGCTGCT